TGTGGTCCCATTCAGTGGGTCACAATTTAAGGTCTATCTCTCAACCACTTCATGTTTACTGACTTAGTTAAATTTTCGACATTTATGGTCAATGGTAGGAAATTTTTGCGACATTTTTTTCCTAAACTTCTCTTCACAGCCTCTTGATATTTGGCATACAGCATTAACATGTAGTCCCATACTGTGGGCTTCGATTTCAGGTATGTTGCTTATCCATTTCCTTTTTACCGACTTAGTTAAATTTTCGACATTTATGGTTTATGATAGGAAATTTTCGTAACAGTTTTCTCAGCAACTACTTATCACAGCGTCTGGATATTTGGCATACAGCATAAACATGCATTCCAATACCACGGGAATCGATTTCAGGTTTTTCGAACATTCACTTCCTGTTTACAGACTTAGTCAAAATCAATAGGGTTCATCTACTTATCACGACTAACATCCATGCATAATATGAAGACTGTGTGTCAAAGAAATCTTAAGCTATTGGGAAGACAAGAAAAAAGTGACGGACCCCGGACGGCCGGACGGACAAGCTGATTCCAGTTTACCCCCTTACAACTTTGTTGTGCGGGGGTATAAATATTAAAACTAGAAAGTTTCTGGACATATACAGATTGTTTATTTCAGAGGTAAACTAAATAAACCAAGGGCTAAAAAGTAGACACTTAACTGATCTTTTTTATCCTCTATCAGGCATTTGAAGGAAATGAACACGGAATCATGAACACATTAAGAGCATAATTGCACTTAAGATATTTGTATTTAAAAAAACTGCTATAAAATGACATACTTGTATTTGTTAAATGGTGCAGCTAAGGATAAATGATTTCCAGTGGCAGCATGCAGACATGTTATCATTAGCAACTTAACTTTTATTATTTGAAGTCTTGTATAGATCTGACATGTGCATTTTTTAATTAACGTAACAGCTGTGAAAGGTTCTAGTAAATTGTTTAGTAAGTAGCCCCTATTTTCTTTTTGAAACAGTTAAAAAATCATAAAATTCGTATCTCCATATTTGAATACCCAATTGACTTTAAAATCATAGGGTATCGAGTTTTGGAATACCTAATTAAATGGAGCCAATACCCAATTCTAAAACAAATGATGGAGTTGTACCAAATTCACTTTCAAAGCTTATCTTCTGCTCTGTGTAAAAACATATACTTTAAAAAGAAAGATATCATTTTAATTCAACAATAGCTTTCACAAAAGTTAGAAATACCTCAAATATTTTAAGGTCGCAGGATTTTGTGAAGGACCATGTTTCTATATTTTTGAAAATGCGACAACGAGGACAGTTTGAAGAAAGTCAATTAAAGTGTATAGATTTTATTGTGCAGACATGAATATCTGACCTTAAAGGGTGACCTTGATCATGTGCCAACTCAATGATGACATATCCTTGTTCAGTAGGACATCTGAGCCAAGTGTGGAGAAATGTCCTTCAAAATTTCCATAGGGCAAATGTCTGCCAATCCAAAACAGACGAGGGGCCAAATGCCCACCATGACAGAAAAGGGAAGCAAATGTCCGGGGGGAAGGGTTCGTTTGAGGGGGAAAAATTAATGCCTGTTTTCCAATATATAAAGCAGACACAACAATTTGGAGAAAAATATTATTTTTGACATAGCTAAAGTGTAACATAAGCATGCACTAGTGAAATATATTAATTTTGTATTTAACAGTTGTATTACACTCCTGTGCAGAGGTTTATGTGATTAATATATTTATTATCCTCCGCCGAAAAGGCGGCAGGGATATAGAAATAATCTCCGTCCGTCCGACATTTTTGTCCGTAGCATTTTGCAAAAAGTATTTAGGGTATCAACTTGAAACTTCATAGGTGGATAGACCTCATCAAGGAGGAGTGCATTGCATAAGAATGATAACTCTACCCTGCATAATTTCTGAGTTACTGCCCTTTGTTATTTTTCAAAATTAATTTTTGTCCAGAGCATAACTCAAAAGGCATTTGAGATATCAACATAAAACTTCAAAGGTGCATAGATCTGACTCAGGAGTGTGCAGTGCACAAGAATGATAACTCTACATTTCATATTTTTTGAGTTATTACCCTTTGCTATTTTTCATACTTAATTGCTCACCTGAGTGGAGCATAACTCAAAAGTGTTTGAGATGTCAACAAGAAATGTCATAGGTGGATAGATCTTATTGAGGAGGAATGCTGTGCACAAGAATGATAACTCTTCCCTATATAATTTTTGAGTTATTGCCCTTTGTTCTTTTTCATACTATTTTTATCTGGAGCTTATCTCAAAAAGTATTTGAGGTATCAACTTGAAACTTCATAGTTGGATAGATTTTACTGAGGAGGGATGCAGAACTCAGGAATGATAACCTACCCTGCATTATTTTTCAGTTATTGCCCTTTGTTAATTTTTCAGCCATCAGGATTCACATAGGTTTCAAATCTGTTATCACTTCAGCCGTTTTCATTACCAAAAGACCTCTTAAAATTGAATTATTCTGCTCTGCTACATATATTTCTTCCACTAAGCAAACACATTCGGCAGGGGGATAGCCATGTTGACATGGCTCTTGTTCCATATATTATAATCATAAATCTATTTAATTTTGAATTTTACTCTTAATCAGTTGATCTGGTTCTTATCTTTTACTCTTAGTTTTATAGGAAATTAAAAACAAGATTGCATTTGTGAAAAATGTTAATTAATACAACACTAAATAGTAATATAGTAACATAATTTTTTTTTAGATAAGTCGTTAAATCTTTTGCTATTCAAATAAAAAATCACAGTAGGAATCTATCAATGCAGTTGAGTCTAGTGAATTTGGTGGTGAAAGTCATATTTCACATGGCAAAATTCCATGACTGTACATCAAAGGACAACACAGTAAGACACTTTGTCAAATTCTAGGCCAGCAGATATCAATGTTCAGTTTACATCTTAAATCTGTGCACATGGTTCAAATTTCATAGCTTCACATTAAAGGACAAAGAGAAAGTCACATCAACAAAATGTAGGCCACCTGGTATCAAAGTTCAATTTGACAAATAAAAATGTACACATACTCCAAATTTCATGAATATACATCAAAGGACAAGAAAGAATGTCACTGTCCCCTTAGGCAAGGCAAAATTTTGACCAAAGATTTAATTAAAACAATCTTGATACAGGTCCACCAAACAACATTTTATGTCAAATATGTAAGATGTAGCTTTCTCCAATTCAAAAAAGTTTTGTTTAGTATCTGTTTTTACTATGTGTACATAATGAAAATCAATGCCCCCGAGCAGGGCCAATTTTGACACAAGGGGCAAAATTTGAACATCTTTGGTAGAGGACCTATGGATGATATTATAAAGCAAACATCAAAGCTCTAAGCCTTGTACCTTCAGACAATAAGATTTTATAATTTTTTACTATATGAACATAGTAAAAATCAATAACCCCCGGGGAGGGGCCAATTTTGACCCCATGGCTATAATTTGAACAATTTTGGTAGAGGTTCACTACACAAAGTCTCATGCCAAATATCTAAACTCTAGCCTTTGTCCATTCAGAGGAGATGATTTTTCAAGTTTTTTTCTATATACTTTTAAGGAAAACTATCGCCTCTGGGCAAGACAATTTTAACACTTAGAGAGGCATAATTTAAACAACTTTGGTAGAGTACCTATAGATGATATCATATACCAAATATCAAAGCTCTAAGCCTTGTATCTTCAGACAATAAGATTTTTATTTGTTTTTACTAAATGTACATAGTGAAAATCAATGACCCCGGGCGGGGCCAATTTTGACCCCAGGGCTATAATTTGAACCATCTTGGTAGAGGCTCACTACACAATGTTTCATGCAAAATATCTTACCTCTAGCCTTTGTCAATAAGGAACAGATTATTTTTAAGCTATATAAATTTAAGAAAAACCTATGACCCCCGGGGTAGGGGCTAATGTTGACACTAGAGCCAAAATTTGAACAATAGGGTACCTATAGATGATATCATATACCAAATATAAAAGCTATAAGCCTTGTACCTTCAGACAAGAAGGTTTTTTAGGTTTTTACTATATGTACATATATTGAAAATAAATGACCACAGGGGGTGGGGGGGGGCAATTTTGACCCCAGGGCTATAATTTGAACAATCTTGGTAGTGGTCCACCAGACAATGACTCATGCATAATATCTAGGCTCTAGGCCTTGTGGGTCTTTACAAGAAGATTTTTAATTTATTCTTATAATTCCTTTTGGTTGCCATGGCAACCAGATTACTGCATGGAATGAAATTCTTTGAACAACTTTGGAAGCCCTTTACCCAAGGATCAATCCTGCCAAGTTTTGTTGAAATTGAACAGTGGTTTTGCACAAGAAGATCTTTTAAATTCACTATATATCTATATATATACATGTACACACACACACACACCAACACACACACACACACACGCACACACGCACACACACACGCACACACACTCACACACACAGGTGAATCGATATATGCCACCGCATAGCAGATGCTGTGGTGGCATAAAAAGTAATACAATATTGTGAAAATTGCAGAAGGATACTTAATGCTAACTAAAATTGGGTACATACTTAAAGAGGTAGCACTCATTTTGCATATATACATGTATATATGATAACATGAAGGCATACAGACAACCATTATATATTTTTAAATAAAATAATGGAGCAAAATACTAAAAGGTAAAGCAAATCAGAAAAATTACTCTCACCATGCATATGATAGGCTAGGTCTAGTTTGGATTCAGGAAACGTTTGTCACATAAATTTATAAAAATACCAAACTTACCAAAGCTCTGCAGCTGCCATTTTTTATTTGTATTAGTATACAAAGTCACGTGATTCACTCACCCACCAACATTGAGAAATTACAAATTGTAATTAGAGGATGTAAGTCCTGAACTCTTTTTCTTTGAAAAGGGACAGTTTAATATCATGATTTCTAAACAGTGATTTATATTAAATATCAAATACCTCCAGCAGGGGCAGTCTTTGTTTCAGAGTTTTTTTCTCCAGTCTCGTTTTGCTCATTTATTGCATTCACCTGAAAAAAAACATCAAAGGATTGAGTCTGAATTGAAAGTCAGTTTACAACTAAATTTCAAAAGGCTATATGAAAAATTTCCATATTTTAACAAAGAGACTGCTATCTTTAAACTTTGTTAAATTATATGAATTTGAAAATATTCAATATCAATATGCAAATTTAGTTAATAACTATACAGGTGGTCTGACAGAAATAAATTGTAAATTAACATAATTAAAGGCCACATAAGCCCCAAAAATGTTAAGTTTTATTTCCTGAATGATTTATTTCTGTTTTGGTGTTCTGTTACAGTTTATAAAATGGTTTTTGTTAGAAAATAACTAAACTATGTCTTGTTCATTTTGATTTTTTACAATAAGTTAAGGTCCTGAGGAAAGGTACCGAATATCATTATTTTATCCTCCATACAACATTGTTTACATTTGCTATTTTTATTGCAAATTATTTCTCATTTAATGTTTCTTTTTACAGATGCTAGATCAAGCATATAACATCCTCTAAATCTATTATTCTAACATGCTTCAGACTATTCACCAATCAACCAAATAGGGCAATCAAGTGTGTCACACAGCATAAAAATGAATGCTTACACATCAAACTTGACAGCTGAAATGACATCAATAAATGACTTCATGAAAATTACTTATACCTTAATGTAGTTCAACATTTTTTTATCAATTCTCTTTTTTAATAAAGCATGTTAGATTGGAAAAAGAAATTAATATCAATTCTTCTTGTTCATCATTCAAATGCTTTGTAATTAATCACTCATTTTTCATGATATTTCTAAGACATGCACAATTCTATAATATTTTGCATTTTTTTCTAATTAAAACATTATAAAACACAGCTTTTGTCTTTCCTTCAGTTGAAAAAATCATATTTATTATAATATTCACTTAAAAATATGAATAAAGACTACAAAAGTCAAAGGTAAAGTAAATCATCTCAAATTCACATCTTTTAGTATTCTATGATGATGACCATAAATAATTTACATTTATTATTTACATACCTCAAAAGTATAAGTTTTTTCTGGTATTACATCCACAAATATTTCATAATTATGACTTTGGGATATTTCATGTTCAAATGATTTGCTTTGTCTCCTATCCTGAAAAAGTAAAATAAAAAGCACATACTAATAGATAATCATTGAAGAAGTTTAATTACCAACTGAAATATAACAGGCACTTCCTGCATTCATCATCATTATTATTATTATTATTATTATTATCATTATTATTATTATTATTATTATATACCAAACTTCTTAAGCACTTTTTTCATGCACATTCAAAAGTACTGTACATTATAACCAAATAAATGATACAATATTTAAAAGAAAACAACAAAAGAAACAAATTAAATTATCGATATCGCTCAAGTCGTAAATTCAAATCAAATGTAGTTAAAAAAAGTTAAAAAGACCCAAATAAATAATAAAAGATAATCAGTCCAAATAAAACCTCTTAAATAAGTGATCAATGTTGATAAAATTTATGTTGATATTAACTATGGCATAATGTCTATCCAAATAATCTAGATTATCCTAAAATAGACTTTATACAACATTTGGTGATATTCAACAAATACATGAGTGAAACAGTTGTTAAAAATTTTCTGTTTGGCATCAATCAGATAAAATCAGGTAAACTGATTGAAAACTTGAAATGCATTATCACGTGTTCTGACTATTTTTTCAGAATGATAATTTAACTTGATTTCATATTATTTAAATTTCTTTAGTTTTTATATGAACTATTTCAACAACAATTATGTTGACCACTTTATTTGTTCTAATAGATATATTTCAATGATTTTTGTGTCGCCTCTACAGAGTAATGGCGACATATAGGGATCACTTCTCCGTCGTATGTCTGTCCGTCTGTCTGTCCGTCACAAAACTTGTCCGGACTACTCCTCATAAACTACTGGTGCAATTTTATCCAAACTTTACAGGAATAATCTGTACTAAGGTTAGTTGTGCATATTGTCAGCATTTCCCGGTTCAATGATTTTTGTAGGAGTTATGACCCTTTAATAATTTTTATTTTTAAAGTTTGTCCGGACTACTTCTCTTATACCACTAATGCAATTTCAATGAAACTTTACAGGATTGATATGTAGCTCAAGTCCTTGCGCATAATGCACGGTTTTTTGGTTGAATGATTTTTGACCGAGTTATTGATAAAAAGGTGTTTTTTCTCTGTGTTGCCAGATACACAAAAGCTTGTCCGGACTGCTCCTCATCAACTACTGGTGCAATTTTATCCAAACTTTACAGGAATGATCAATACCAAGTCTTGTTGTGTATTGTCTGTCTGTCTGTCCGTCTGTCACAAAACTTGTCCCTACTACTCCTCATAAACTACTGGGGCAATTTTATCCTAACTTTACAGGAATTTATGTCACTACTACTCCGAACACTTCTCCGTCTGTCACAAAACTTGTCCCAACATGAAATTGGCTATCATGAGGCAATATATGTGATCACTGATCGCTCTTGTTTTTACAACAATGTCAGTCAATGTCAGGTCTGTAACCGTAATGGGGAATTTTTAAACAATCATCTTTTCCATGCCTTTTATGGCAAACTTGGCCACAAAGCTATAAACGCATCTTTTATGTTTTTGTTAAAAGCTATTTCATATCATTTTCTACTTTTTACCTTAAACTTAATTGGAATTGTCTATATGATCTTCTATTTCTATGTAGGGCAATGCTCTTTTAGCCTTACACGAATGCGCTAGAAAATACTACTTCTGATGCTTTTCTGTCTTCATGAAGACTTACAATTTTTTGGTCTTGAAAATACAAAAAGCTGTATGATCTTATCACACTATTCTGCAACAATATGTTTGGGGCTTGCCAGCTTATCTTCATCCTTGTATAATTTCCACCAGGATTGGATGTTAGAACAAAGTTTGAAACTTTTCCTGGTGCTGAAATAAATGCAATGAAAAATGAAGATATTACATGTAAATTCTAACAATAGAAGTCCATGAAGGCAGTGTGCTCAACTTTTCTCACAGCTGAAGTAAGCTTAACAGTTTCAGAGATAATCACGATAACAGGGCACATTGACCTTTTCTGTAATTTCTTTAATATTCATATAAAGGATGTGTTTCAAGATCTTTTAATCATTATACAATGATTTTAAATAAAATGCTCAGCAAAGCTTGATTTTTTTTCATGTGACTTAAGTTCAGATATTTTTATATGTTTTACAAGTGCTAGCCAATTTGAATTTCCAATAGTACAATTTTAAGACCACCAATCTTCTTCTACATAAAAGCATTATCATAGAATTTACAAAAATCATTAATTTTGAGAGGATATTTCAAAGATATTTTAAATAGTTTTAAAAACTTTAGATTGTATCGTTTTTTGGTATCTAAACTTTCATTGAAGATAATTTATCCATAAGACAACAGGCACTGCAATTTTGTTTCTCCTGTAATATCCTGAAATTGTTAACAATCAGGACACATTAATAGTTTCCCAATGGTTAAAAAATAAAATCAAAGGGCTGCATGCTCTGTGGTATTTTCTGATCTTTCCTGTATAAGTTTATTCTTATATACTATTATTCATCTTACGCAGCGACTGCGTTTCACAGTTTGTGATTGATACATATGGAATTTTGCATGCTTAAATTGCATCAAAATCATTTTTCATTTTTTATTACAGCCACACTTTACCTTGCATATCGTGGCAACTTCCTTAAAAAAGACACTTCACAAATTTTTTTTGCCTCGACAAGGATTTTAACCTTAGGCCTCTCACATCCTAAACGAGCGCGCTACCTCTGCACCACAGTGAAGTAATACGCATGTAGTGTGAATAAAAACGAGTATATTTTAATTCTAAAATTGAGAATTTTCATTTCGTATTTGTAATCCTTTTTAATTCCGAGGTTTTTTGTTCACGACAAACCTGTTGTTAAACACTGATGAAAACAAGATATGTTTGTAAAACATGTATGCCCCCCCCCCCTATCGGCAGCCAATTTGTCATGTGATCAGGTTATTATGCATGACTTCTGACCCAGTGAACAAGCAATTAATAAGGGTTATCTAGTATCTACTGGTCATGACAAGTCACAAGGTAATAATTATTGTGACCCCATAGGTTGTTTGCAGCAATTTAAGTTATTAACAATCTTACCAAATAATATATACATAAATGTTATGAATCACATAGGCCTCATTAATGACAGCCAAATTGTTTTATAACATAAGACCTTCAAATGTTTATACCAAAAGCACATAAAAATATCAACCAAGGCAACTTGAGTTGTTAAGTTGTTGGTCAGAAACGGTCATTAAGTACAAGGTCACTATGACATTGACACCTTGACCCCAAAATCAATAGGGGTCATCTACAGGTCATGACCAATCATCATACCAAGTTTGAAGTTCCTAGGCATAAGGGTTCCTTAGTAATTGATCGGAAACCGTTTTTACCTACAAGGTCAATGTGACCTTGACCTTTGACCCCTTGACCCTGAAATCAATAGGGGTCATCTGCTGGTCATGACAAATCATCATACCAAGTTTGAAGTTCCTAGGACTCAGGGTTCTTTAGTTATTGATCGGAAACCGTTTTAACCTACAAGGTCAATGTAACCTTGACCTTTGACCCCAAAATCAATGGGGGTCATCTGCTGGTCATGACCAATCATCATACCAAGTTTTGAATTCCAAGGCCTAAGCGTTCTTTAGTAATTGATCAGAAACCGTTTTTACTTACAAGGTCAATGTGACCTTGACCTTCCCCCTTGACCCCATTATCAATAGGGGTCATTTGCTGGTCATGACAAATCATCTTACCAAGTTTGAAGTCTCTAGGCCTAAGGGTTCTTAAGTTATTGATCGGAAACCGTTTTAACATACAAGGTCAATGTGACCTTGACCTTTAACCCCTTGACCCTAAAATCAATAGGGGTCATCTACTGGTCATGACCAATCACCATACCGAGTTTGAAGTTCCTAGGCCTAAGTGTTCTTTAGTTATCACTCGGAAACCATTTGGTCTACGGACCTACGGACGGACGGACCGACAAGTGCAAAGCAATATACCCCCTCTTCTTCGAAGTGGGGGCATAATAATTTAGCGAAAAACTTCTCGCCAAAACAGTCCGACATGTATATATTCCATTACTCGACAGTCAGATTTATTTGTGTACTACGCTCTGGAGTATTCGGTAATCGACAGAGCTAAAAATAGCATTTTCATTGATTAAGCTTTACGGAAATAATCGAACATTTTTCATTGGGTAAAAAAGATATTCATCCGCGAAATTTGTGATTGTAACCTCATATTTTTATTGAATAATGTAAACTTTTAATGCACTGTAATTCGTTCAATGCCTACATTAAAAATTTATTCTTTCTTTTAAATTGCTGGTTTTTAAGCAGTTTTGAGTGAGAACTACTTTGCGTTGTTAGGTCTGTGAGGAAATTTTGTGTAAGACCGTGGATGTTAGCTATGTATTTACTGATCTTGCGATCAGAAAATACAAAAACTGATCAATTTTTAAAGTGCAAAAATGACCACATTAATAACATTCAGGTGTGTAAATATACAAAAAACTTAATTTAACTTATATGGAGATTGTTGTTTTTAATTTCACAAAATATCAAGATAACAATGTATACCTGTAGGAAGAGTTCTGTATTGTATCGTCTCAGTAGATGTTTTTGAACCTTTTGAAGTAGTAGCTGTCACTAAAACACTGTAATTCCAATATTCTTGAAGATTTTCAGCAAGATATTCTCTAGTGTTAAACCCTACAGGAAAATAAAATATATACCTTTCTTTCATAAAAATGTTCATCAAAATGAGACAAGATTAGATTAAATTTTTTTTACATAATTCCTTTAAATCTGTGTTTTCTATGAAAACATTTGATTTATTAGTATCTTAAAAGTCTGAAATGTAAAACAAGTAATAACTTTCATACTTAAAAATGTTTTATCTGAATTATACTTATGATACTATTAGACCTCTAAGCTGGAGGCCTTTTTTCCACAATAAGAATGATTCATAAAACTTTTAAAAAGGTTCACTAGGCAATGCTCTATGCCAAAATTAAAAAGATACTGTATTTATCCACAAAAATATAAGAATGTGTTTTCCTATTCCTTAGTCTACATAAGGCAAGTGCTACATGCTAAATATCTTAGCTCTTGACATTGAAGTTTCACAAAACTAGACTGAAATGTTTTTCCTTAAAAAGTCTAATATCAATTGAGGACCCTATGGGCAGGGCCAATACTGACCCTAGGGACATGATTAATTCCAGTTTTGTAAGGGCTAACAAGACAATGCTACTAAAGGTATTGCAGTTTCACCAAATTAAGGCTTTTGAAATGTGTTTTCCTATATAAAGCTAAATTAACAAAGTAAGTATATGTGGGTGTGTTGGTCAAAATATTGACCCAAGGGGTATGAATAATACCAGTTATTTTATGGTCAAACAAAGTGATGTCACATGCCAAATATCTACACTCTAAGCATCGTAGTTTCACACAAAAAGACTAACATGTATTTTCCTAAAATTCTATATAAATCATGTAGCCCCTAGGGCGGGGCCAATATTGAATTGAGGGGCATGATTCATATCAGTTTTGTAAAGGTCAATACGGCAATGCTAAATGCTAAGTAGCTGAGTTCTAGATATTGTTGATTCATATAATGGAACTTAAAATTTTTAATATGTTTTCCTCTGTAAGTCTACATAAAATCAAGTAATCCACTAGGCAGGGCTAATTTTGAACTCTGAGAAAGTGAAACATTTGCTATGCACATTGTCTCATTATAAGTAATATTTTTGCCAAAAATTTGAATGTTTTCTTATTGGTTCAAACGATACAGAGAAACACAAAAAAACTGCCACCAAAGGACGGACGACCATTGCATAATATTATATACCAAAAATTTTTCAGTAATTTAAAAATGCAACCTGTCAGTATAACTTGTTTGGACTCTGCTGGATGATCAGCCATCAGTATAACTGTGTAGTTTGTTTTGCCAGGTCTGGGATCATCTATTTTCCAAGTCACTTTAAAGGATGTTGTCTTTATTTCATTGACTTTCACATTGTATGGTACTTGTGGAGCTGTAAAATAATACAATGAGGAACTTATATTGTGATAATGAAAAAAGATTATTCAAGACCTGTCTGCACAGAGCAAGCTCCACTTTTGTCAGTGTGTCTAGTAATTCAATTCAAAGTGTTTTTCATGCAACACACATCACTAGTTTCAGATTAAACAATTTTATGTGACAATCCACATATAATTTATGTTACCCCACTACCTTTATACATGTATATGTTGACAATAAATCTACCTTTTACAAAATAGATATTTTTTATTACAATTGATGATTATACATATATCCTAATATAGACTTTACAATTGACATCAAAACAACTGATAATTTTTTATTACAATTGGTAATTTCCTTTTACAAATTTCTTTATTCAACTGATAATTTCTCGCCTCAAATGACAAATATCAACTTTAACTTTTCTTTCACTGATCTTTTAATTGTGAAACAATACCTTCTTCTTCTGTTGTTATATCTAAATCAACAGTATTGCCAATTCCTAAATTGTTGACAGCTGCACCAATAATTGTATAAGTTGTATCTGGTAAGAGATTCAAAAACTGGTATGACTTTGAACCAATGAGCTCAGGCTTGTTTACAGGAAACAACTCTCTCACATTACTGTCACACATATGCTCTAAAGTAGAAGGCTGAAAATAAAAGTTATTTAATCTATTGATTAAGTCCTTCTAATAAAAATTATAATCAAAAAACTTTTTTAATATTAAACAATATCTGACAAGCTTGTTGTCTGTATAAAACAGGAAGCTGATCTGATGTTAACCTAGGGTACTTGAAAATTGTGCTCTTACCTGACCTTCGCTATTCATCCCTCCTCCCACCAAAAAAGTACAATTTGATTTTCACACAAATTATAGCAACTAACTTGCATATGAAAATTATTATTGTATATGAAGGTATCGGTTAGAAAGTAATAAATGTGATATACATTGCCTAAGCTTTCCAATAACTAAATTCTGTGATAAAAAATTAAACAAGGAATGTTGAACGACACATATGCCCCCCTTTCTAGCCCTTGACTCATATTATTGGTAATTTTGTTACAGAAACTTGTCATTAATGGATACATGAAAGTGTTCAGTTATGGAAAAAAGAAAAATAACAAAGACTTTGTAATAATGATAGTTTTCAAGATAATGAGCGGAAAGTATTATGACATTTAAGGCCCCTGCGACCTTGACCTTTGAACTAGTGACACAAAATCAATAGGGGTCATCTAACAGTTATGACCAATCAATATTGGAAATATGAAGACTGTGATAAATAGCTTTAAAGATTATGAGCTGAAATTATACTACCATTCAAGTACCCTGTGACCTTGTCCTTTGACTTGGTGACCCCAAAATCAATTGGGGTCATCTACTAGTTATGACCAATCAATATGTGAAATATGAAGACTTTGTGATGAATACTTCTCAAGATAATCAGTGGAAACCATTCTGACTTTTAATGCCTCTGTGACAATGGCCTTTGACCCCAAAATCTATAGGGGTTATCTACTAGTTAAGAACTTATGACCAATCAGTATGTGAAACATGAAAACTTTGTTATGAATAAGTTTCAAAAAAAAAAATAGTGGAAAACATTCTGACATTTAAGGCCCCTGTGACCTTTGAACTAGTGACCCAAAATCAATAGGGTCATCTAACAGTTATGACCAATCGATATGTGAAATATGAAGACAGTAATAAGCGGTAACTATTCTAACAAACAATTTTCTGCAATGATATCTCATGGTCAATCTCAATATTAACATATTTTTAGCAAAAAAACTTTACTAGGAATAATATTACAAAAGTCTAAAATAACAAAACCATTATCAACAAATTGTGTAGAAACCAAAAAACTAAACAAACATGAATAATATTCACCTCAAAAGTTCCAAAACAACTTGGGGTTAAACATTTATAAACAATTTCTTCCACACAAGTGTCTTGTTTTTTCAGCTGAATAACATATCCATAGATTTCTTCACTGTATGAATTGATAGGCTCAGTCCATTTAATAGAGATGTTTCGACTTCTGACCTCAATTGCTTGAAAACCATCAGGCGGGTCAGATACTGAAAAATGTTTGCAAACATAAATGAGTCACAATGAGTTAAAATTAAATTTATTCCAACTTCCAAAATTAGATTACGGTTTCAAACAAAAGAACTACTACAAACTAAAACAAAAGATGCCCGAAGACAGCAAATTCCACTTGTCTCAGAGATTCAATTAAAGCAACTCTCAGGATTATCTGCCCATAGAAATGCATTTCAAATTTTGTCAGTCAACAAGTAATCAAAGTATTTGAGCATTTTTGACTAATGTACCTTAACAGAAAAGATTCAATGTGCACTAGAAATGAGTCCATATGGCAAAGATGCCCCAGCACTCTATGTTTGTCAGTCTACTGACGTAGGGTAAGACAGTATGATACAAGGGTCAAAAAAGAAAATCCTACATGACCCCTCTACCCCTAAGTGGTTTCGGTATAAAAACAACAACCAATGTTCCCAATTTTAAAATTTTGATTTTTCCCAATATTTAGAATTTCCAATTTTTTTATCCAAAAGAATGCCTAAAAGAAAACAAAAATATTGCATTTGTGAAAAATGCTATGCCACAGTATTAATACAACAATTAATAGTACGAACAGAAGTAGATCATTTTTATATTTCAATACAACTGATGCACAACATATTACTGTCCCGTGAGTGTGAGTGGACAGTAATTATGTGGCAAGTGGGACAATAGGTAACTGTTCTTTATCTTTAATGTCATTCATTCCGTAATGCTTTTATGTGACTATTTTCTTTTGTGTGGCTAAAATAACAATAGAGAGAACAATAGAGTAGCCACATAATTACTCTCCTGTTAGAACGGACATGCTTAAAGTTTGGTATTTCAGTGACTACTCATTTGTTTTCCCTTTTGTTCTTCCAGCCAAATAAGAGGAAAAGTAGCCACATAAGAATAGCATCAAAGGGAATTTACTGTTACCTATTGTTCCCCAAAACCACCAAGTATTAATATGTTTGTACGGACGGACAGACTGAAGGAAAGATGAACTTACAAAATTGATACTTGTCAGTAAGCAGAAGGTGGATAAGCGAAAGACCTGAAATCAAATCCCACTGTATGGGATCATGTGTTTATCCTGTATACCAAATATGACGAGGCTTTAATTAGTAGTTGCTGAGAAACCTGTTACAAAAATTTCCTACCATAGATCATTTATGTCAAAAACTTAAGTCAGTCAGTCAGAGCAACAAACCTGAAATCAAATCCCACGGTATTGTACTATGTGTTAATGCTGTATACAAGATAAGAAGAGGCTGTGATAAGTAGTTGCTGAGAAAACTGTTTTCAACTCGCCAATGCCGCCCGAAATTCACCATACTATAACCCGGGTTCGCACCTGTGCAACTCTGCCAAAAATCAAAATCAATGCCGACAATATGCACAAATAGACTTGGTACTGATCATTCCTGTAAACAGTGTAAAGTTTAGATGAAATTGCACCAGCAGTTTTTGAGAAGTAGTCTTGACAAGTTTGGTAACAGACGGACTAACAAATAACTCTCTAGAGGCGACACAAAACTATGGACATGTAGGATCAGTGGACAGATTGGGTAGAAATGTATATACGAGATAAGAATGCTAACTTACATTTTGCTTTTGTTGTACAATAAGGAGACTGTCCAGATAGTGATGAATTGTACATCACATTTTCTGTGTATACTTTAAAAATGTAGGTACTTCCTGAAATATATACAATTATGATATATTTGTTTTATTTGAATTTAACCTTATAATAAAGAGATCACATAATCTTTTATTTAATTCATCATTTTCTTTTTCTCCAATCTATTGATTTTTTTATTGCATAGTTTACCACAAACATGATACATTAGAATGCTGTTAACGTATTAAACAGTGAAAGCAACTGGACAAAGTTATTTTAATCTGGCATATAATTTTGCAAAAAAAGCTGCTGATGAATTCAAAACAACAATATATATAGGTGGTAGGTAATATGAATTCAAATTATGATAGATGGTGATGGATATTACTATAAGCAAATACAAAAACAAGTATTAGTATCTGTTTATAAGAAGTGACTAATAAGACATTCTTATAAGCATAAGAATGTGTAGTCACAAGTTTTAAAATGAAACTAGAAATATGTCCATAGGACACAGGTGCCACAACACTCCACCGATTTGTCAATCTTATGTCTGTAGGCTAATATTTTTTGGCTATATGTGCCCAAGTTAAAAACTAAAAATCTTTTTATTAAGTAAAGGGCAAATACTACAAACTGAATAAATCCACAAGAAAATCCCAAAGGTGCATAGGAACACATGCTGACCAACATTCTTGTAATCTTTCAGGCCTACAGGTCAAATACCTTTTGAGTTACGTGCAACACAAGTTGAATATTGTAAATGTTTACTTAGTTAAGGGAAATAACTCTAACAATACTATATATATCCACATGAAAATACCACAACTTCACATGCTGGTCAACATTCCTGTAAGGTTTCATGACTCTAGGTCAAATATTTTTGTGTTACATGCGACACAAGTTAAAAAATGCAAATTTTTACTTATTCAAGGGCAATAACTCTAAAAATACTCAAATACCAAAGTGCACAACTTCTTATGCTGATCAACATTCCTGTAAGGTTTCATGACTCTAGGTCAATTACATTTTGAGCTACGTGCGACACGAAAAAGAGAACGGAGGGACGGACGGACGGAAGGTCGACGTTTCAACATTTTGGCTTTAGGGGCAATTTTCTTTGTTATTTTCTTTGTTTTCTTAAGGGCTACTAGCCCCTAAACCCTTTGATCACGGAATGAAGCTTTTGTTCTCTTTTGTTCTCTTTACTGTTATATAGCCCCTAAACCCAAAATGTGTGCTCGGACCAACGGACAAGGGAAAATCTAAATGCCCCCCATAGTGGGGGCACAAAAAATATTTGGTATTGTAGTGTCAAAAAAGGAAACTTAAGATGTATTTTCATTTAAACATTTATATAATCTAAGTGATCCCCAGGTGTTGGGTCAATTTAGATCTCTGGGGCATGATTAAAATAACTTCTGTTGAAGAAAAAAAGTGACCTGTGGTATTTTAATTTCACACAAAAACTTATAAAGGATTTTTACTATGTAAGTTTATTTAAACCAAGTAATCCAAAGGATTTTTCTATTTCCTTTATATGAGGTGACTCGAACCCGTCTGAGCAATGACTGTGGACAAGCATCCTGATCAAGTTAGTGACAATTAGGCAAAAATGTTACCACTAGAGTGTTAAAGAATTAACTGTGGTTTGATGACCGACGACGGACAATCAAAGATCTTAAAAGCTCCTAACGAGAAAGCATAGGTGAAGTAAAAAGTAATTAAGAATTCTAAGATGGGTCTAAACTGAGCAAAGTGTAACTATAGGGTTTTGTGCATGCATGTCTTTCATGCATTCAAATTTTGATAATTGATAAATATTCAATGTTTGAAGTTTGATAATTATACGAAGTGAAATAGGTGAAAACAATACCTGTTGTTTTGTCCCTTAAGATGTTTTTAGGTCAAGAACACAAGTTTTACTTTTATGTTACGTGTGATCTCGACTATTCTGATATAGACATTCAATATTGGGTGTGACATATCATCATGATGTTCAAACATTTATGACAAGTAAATTTAAAATCCTTCCATGAGTGATGTCTTATGTTAATTATATAGATCATCAATGAAAAACTTTTATGATAACAAGTGTGACCTTGACCTTTGATGTAGAGACCTACATCTTGAGTGCCATACCTTGTCATCTTGTCAATTTAATGTATGCCCGGTTTATTTAAAAATCATTCAAAGAATGACCTAGCCCTTTTTCACGAAAACAGCTTGACAGTAACCTGACTATATTCCATCATTCAAGAAGAAAAAGTTATTTTGTTTTGATAATATAATCTAGTAACACAGTTAATTAAAGAAGACAGCCATGATAGCCCTTAATTACTCACCTGAGCAGATGGTCCAATTGAATGAGATTGTGATATTGCGACACTGGTAGAAACATAAATTTTACAAATTTAAGTGTGAAGGGGTGGGTATTTTATAAAATAACTTTGTTGAATCAATAGTTTTCATATTATGATTACTTATAAAGTATATTTACAATGCACAAAAATCTTAAATTGTGAAAAGAATGTTTAGGTTTGGCGGCAACCTTAATCAGCAGACTGGAACCATTTGATGATTTGAGCAACTTTTAAGGATTACCATCAAAGGACCATCTATGTAAAGTTTCATCAAAATCCACCCAAAGTTAAAGAAGAGATAAGGGGGGCGGTGGCCTAGTGGTTAATGTGTCTGCCTTCAACCCACGGATCACTTGTTCGAGCGCTAATCGGGTCATGACCATATTCCATCATATGACACCTGTATTGGTTGGTTCCAGGAAGCGTACTCTTAATGATAAATATAACGTACAAGAACTTGTTTTGTTTCACATGCTTAAATAATTCGAGCTTAAAATAGGGGCTTACATATTATGTAAAGGATTTATCATTTTCTTCTTTTAGCTCTAAAAGCCATTTTGTTTAACAAACCGTTACAATTATAGTAACTTCAGTAAAGGACTGCCCACTGATCATTTCTTTAGAGTTTTATCAAAATCTATCAGGCAGTTGAAACCATGATTTCATTTAACATTTTTCTATTGTTTTTTGCACTGGTTCATTAGACCAGAACCATTTGAGCCGTTTTTATAATTCCCATCTAAGAAAAATCCATCAAAATCTACCAAACAGTTAAGCCAAAGATGTTAAAAATTTTTCCATTTTTATCCATCTTCTTTCAGCAAATTGAATCCATTTTAAGCAGGATAATTCCTGAAAAGTTTCATCACTATTGGTGTTGGAATTTAAGTAACAAAAGCACTAAAAAGGCAGGGCAAAATATGCCCGAATGTTTATTTGTTTGAGTAGTAGAAAATAGTCTTTCAATTACGGTAAAGACCCAATCAAGAAACTTGTCTGAATTTTTTTTATCTGAATTATACTCATGATACCATTAGACTTGTGCTGGAGGCATTTTAACCCTAAGTGCATGATTAATAAAACTTTTTAGAGGTATTATATGCAATGCTATATACCAAATATAGAAGCAGAGTATTTATCCACAAAAATAAAGGATGTGTTTTCCTATACATCATCTAGTTAAAGCAGGTGACTCCAGGGGAAGTGCAAATACATGTATGTATATAATATGTAGAAAACTACAAATTTGATGTTACATGCCAGATATCTAATTTCGGGGCTTTGTTATTTCACACAATAAGACTTAAATGTGTTTTCCTATAATCAAGTGACCACAGAGAGGTCCAATTTTGACTTCAGGGGAATATTACTTTTCCAGACATTAACACGGTTATGCATCATGTTAAATATCTTAGCTCTTGGCATTGTTGTTTCACAAAATAATACTGAAATGTTCAGGTGATAAAAAAGGAAATACCTTTATAAAAACAATAATTTTTGATTATTTGCATTTTAAATATGGCATTGAAATATTTATATTGAACAATGTTTGAAGTCAATAGCTTTGATAGTTTCTGAAAAATGTTAACCATATCATCAACAAGAAGAGCTAAAATCAGTATTTAACAGATATATTGGTGGACATTGTAACAGAAATACTAAATCGTTAATTGTCCTCAAGCTGATTTAAGCATCTCTATAGAAAAAAAAACAAACTTAAGTTAGTACAATTTTAATTTGATGATTTTAAATTAATCTTATACAAAACTATTATCTAACAAGCAGATCTTCTTATCTGTCAACATGCTACAATTATTAGTCATACCTGGACTAAGTTGCATCACTTGATGAGTTTCAACAATATCAGCAGTGCTGGTAGAAAATAACAAGGTATTACTTGCACTTAAAACCTCAATGTTAAATCTGACAAGATCTCCATTTGGAACCAATGGTTTTAACCATTTCAAGGTGATAGACTCATCTTTTAGCATATCACATTTAACTTCTGTTGGAGGATTTGGTACTGAAACATAATTAGAACAATTATTCATATATAAACTTATGTTTAATATCTGAATAAATTCTTTTATGCAGATAAGAAAAACAAAATTAAAATTGCATTGTCTATGGTTGCAATGAGACTGTATGATTTACAGACATACATTTTCAAACAAGAACTCACAGATCATGCTTCACTGCTAACCTGTTTCTTTTTCAAGTAAGCTGTCAAGTTAACAATGTTTCAGAAAACTTTAGCTGGAACTTCTTCAATTAATTTGCTACAGACATACATATGCAAAGTGACTGACTCATTTCTTATTAACATTTTAATATTTGCCCCCAATGAAATTACCATTAGCAAAAATCAACCATTTATAAAGTTCAAATAAGAATAAATCAACTACTTCAAACAACAGCAATTAGTATAGTTACTTTGTACTGTTGTTGTGATTTGTTCCACATAAAAATCACTCCATTCATAGCTTGACATATGTCTACCCTGATAAAGTTCACTTCTTGCTGAAATTTTCACATCATAATAATAACCATTTTTCATGTTTTGGTAATAAATGTTGCCAGAAGTTTGTGTAAAGTCATTCCTTGTTAGCTGACTTGTACCATCAAATAATTGTACTCTATAAGAAATAGCAACACCACTACTAGGGGCACTCCAGTCAATGGTTATCCGTTGATCTGTAGCATCTAAATCTAGAGTTGTCAGTAACCTAGGTTTGTTTGGTTCTGAAAAAACAACAACGGTAATATAAATGACTGATAAATTGATATATTTACAAAAGTAATATCAGAATTGCCTGTACACTTTTTGTATAACTTTTAATTACACATGTAACATATCACTGAGCTTCTGATACAAATTATTTGTCTTTAATAAAGTTTTTTATCTAACATTGTTGCAAAAACAAACACACAAACAAACAAAAAAACAAAAACCCCAACCAAATTACAATTCTTTGAACATGATTAAAAATCTAAGTATGAGTATTGAGGAAGGACAAAAGTAGGTCAACTGATTAAGTTTCTTTTACAATTTACAGAAATGATCTTATAATACTGTGGTTTGACGATTAATACTGAAATGATTAAAATAGATGTAAAATAGGTATTCAACAGTTATTGTCCCCATTGTTCTTGATTATTTTATTTCAAATACGACAAACCAATTGGGAATCCATTATTCATAAAAAAAACAAGAACGCCATATAGCTCAAAAGAGGATCGGTTTATATGGACAAGATTAATTACCAGGATATTCTATGTTCAAACGAGCCAGAACCATTTGAGCATGTTTTGAAATGCACAACCTAATGATCATTGCTGCACAGTTTTATCAAAGTCTATCAAAAGGTTGAGCAGGAGGTGGCATTAAAATAATTAAAATAATGTTTCCCTATTTTTAGCTGTAGCAATCATTTTGTGGGCAAACAGGAACAATTGTAGTAAAGGATCATCAGTACAATTTCATCAAAATCTTGCCTGCCAAATACCTACGCTAAAAGCATTGTAGATTCACATAATGAGACTAAAATGTTGTTTCTTTTTTCTATATAAATCAACTGACACTTGGGGCTTGGCAAATATTGAACCATAATGAATAAATGATTTAAGTTTTGTAAAGGTCCACAAAGCAGAGCTACATTCCAAATATCTAGGCTAAAGGCATTGTAGTTTCACACAATAAGAGTTGAATGTGTTTTTCCTATGTAAGTCTATATAAATCAAGTGACCCCTTGGGTGGAGCCAATACTGACCCAAAGGGAATGACTTAAATTAGTTTTGTAGAGGTCAACAAGACAATTTTTGTTAAATGTCTATGCACTAGGCATTGCAGTTTCACACAATGAGACTTAAAAATGTTTCCTGTATTTCCTATATAAGACATTATAAATGATTTCAGGGATGTGGCCAATTTCATTCAAAGGAAGCCTAAATCTATGTATTCTACATTGTCTCATATAAAATAATATTTTTGCCAACAAGTTAATTTAATTTCCTCTAATTGAATCAAAATACATGTATACCGAGCAGACAGATAATTTTGAAATTCATACAAATGACTGAGTGTGACCTTGACCTGAGGAAGGTCAAACCTTCTTCTCTCATCATGGTTATAATTTTCTGTCATGTACTTTCATTTCCTTCAATTTGTGTTTTGTATCTGGGACTGCTTTGTTTTTATCTTGATGACATTGAAAAAATATTGAATGGAAAGTTCAGATATAAGTGATAAAAATTTTGCCTATATTCCGTCTAACTTTTTTGCACTGTCAGCTCTTAGTGAGTATACAAACTTATAGGGAGATTTTTTATCTAAATCTTAAACTTATATCACTTCATTCATATCTGCATCTGAAATCATGCAAATGTCAACAAGGTTTTTCAATATTTGGTCTGTGTGATTTATATTTGACCAACATATGATCCATATTCTAATATGAGCTAGAATTTATCAAAACAACTTTTATTTCACATTTTAGTAAAATAATGACAGAATGGGCACAACTACCAGTATTTTCTGAAGTTTGACACCAGCTTAGATAGAGGTCTCTAAAAACTCAGTAAAAGTTAAAGATCTTAAAAGAAATTTGACCTCCAGAGTGTGAAAAACAGATGTGGATGAAAGAAAATGGAGAAATGATCACACTTTTCAGTTCATGCTTTAGAATTTTGTAGTCAAATTATGCTTATAGGAAAACAATTTCAAAATTTTTCAGCCAATGCAGAAGATAAATGACTAATTTGTTAAATAAATAACATTCATAGACATTTCATAAAAGTCATACTAAAAAAACAAGAACAAAAATCAACAAGGCAAAGGCAACGTTCACAGGACGCGGCCCCCGACACACTCAAAAAACCTCGAGCGGACATAAGGGTGAAAAACCTGCACTTTTTAAAGGTATATATTCATTATTTTTGTATGTAGTTCAATCCTCCAAAAGATAAAACTTACTTGAAGCTTGCTCCAATGTCATAGATGTTTTCCGAGTATGATCTTTTCTAGTGTTAGTGTTTACAGATATCAGATTCACCTCATATGCCTTTCCTGCTGTTACACCAGTACTGATATCAAATGACGTAGTACTGGCAGAAACCTCATTATTCCCCCCTGCCATACTAGTATCAGAAATTTTAAGACTCCACTCTACTTCATACTTGTTAATGTAAGATGCTTTTCCCCCTGAAGGAGGTGTCCATGAACGTTCACAGGACGCGGCCCCCGACACACTCAAAAAACCTCGAGCGGACATAAGGGTGAAAAACCTGCACTTTTTAAAGGTATATATTCATTATTTTTGTATGTAGTTCAATCCTCCAAAAGATAAAACTTACTTGAAGCTTGCTCCAATGTCATAGATGTTTTCCGAGTATGATCTTTTCTAGTGTTAGTGTTTACAGATATCAGATTCACCTCATATGCCTTTCCTGCTGTTACACCAGTACTGATATCAAATGACGTAGTACTGGCAGAAACCTCATTATTCCCCCCTGCCATACTAGTATCAGAAATTTTAAGACTCCATTCTACTTCATACTTGTTTATGTAAGATGCTTTTCCCCCTGAAGGAGGTGTCCATGAAACTGTAAATCCTGAAGTTGTTACTGATTGGAATGTTATGCTAGTGACTGTAAGTTCAGATACTGAAACATAATTTAGATTTATATGTAAAGCGGTGCACAATGTAAGCATCTTCAAATTCTTTTTAAAATCAAAATACTATTCTTAGAAAAATCTATTTCTGTTTTAGCAGGCATTATGGATGAAATTGCCAATCTGACAAAAATACAGAGACCATCTATATTGGCTTATTTCATTTAATATTTATTTTATAAGGTGCATAACCACATAAAATATTTTAGAAATGTTTGCAAATTGACAAGTAGTCCTTATAATTCTAAACAAGAGAGCCATAATGGCCCTGAAATCGTTCACCTATTTATAGGTCCCGGAGCAGGGGCAAATTTAAACCCAGTGGCTTTGATTTGAACAAACTTGGTAGCCACCCATTAGATGTTTCATGATAAATATTAGTGATGTTTCGATTGTCACAATTAGCCGATAAGCAGTTACTGTTATGTAAAGTAACAATAAGCGATTCACAAAAATTTGTTCTGCGATGTCGATGTTTTTTAAAGTATCAATGGGAATTAATTCTGACGGTAATTTTCTTTTATTTTTTATAGTTTTTATTTTCCCCGATTGCAAAAAGTTATCTCAGAGACAATTTGGAGTTGAACAGGATCAATACTTGATGTAAACAATAGTAATATAATGTGATGTGAATATTATTATTTGACATCCATTGGAAAATAAAATCTATTTCGTAAAATTATAGCTATATAAGGTAAAAACAGTGTTGAAAAGTGCTAAATGAAGTTCATGTTACTGAATTATTAAAGTGCCTTGGGAAGAAATGTTACTTCCCTATTTCTTTTTAACGCAATTTTATTCAAAAAGTAATGGATTATGTCCCATCAGATTGAACCGTTATTTCCATCACTAATAAATATATAAGTTCTAGCTCTTTGGGGCTTTTAAAAGATGATTTTAACTATGCACGTGTAAGAAAAAACATTGAACCCCCCTCGGACGGGGCAAATTTTGACCCCAGGATTTTTATTTGAAGAAACTTTGTAGACATTCTTTAGAAAATATGTCATGCTTAGTATCTTAATTCTAGCTCTTTGGTTTTTTTAAAGAAGATTTTTAAAGTTTTTAATATACACAAATAGGGAAAATCTATGACCCCAGGGGGCGGGCCAATTTTAACCCCAGGGCCATTATTTGAACAAACTTGGTAGACACCCATTAGGAGATGCTTCATGCTAAATATCTTACCTCTAGCTCTTAGGGTTTTTTTAAAGAAGATTTTTAAGTTTTTACTATATACATAAAGTGAAAAACAATGACTCCCTGGGGCGGGGCCAATTTTGACCCCAGGGCTTTTATTTGAACAAACTTAGTAAACACCCACTAAAAGATGTTTCATGCATAATATCTTAGCTCTAGCTATTTGTATTTTTTAAAAGAAGATTTTTTAAGTTTTTACTATGAACAAATGAGGAAAATCAATGACCTCCGGGACGGGGCCTATTTTGATTCCAGGGCTTTTATTTGAACAAACTTGCTAGACACTGACTAGAAGATGTTTCATGCCAAATATTTAAGGTCTAGCTCTTTAGGCTTTTTAAAGGAAGATTTTTTAAAGTTTTTTTCGGTTGCCATGGCAACAAGAGTTCTGCATGGAATCAAATTCTTTGAACAGTTTTTAAAGTTGACTACCAAAGGAACATTCCTGTGAAGTTTGGATGAAATTGGCTTTGCAGTTTATGAGGAGATGTCGTTTAAAGTAAAAGTTTACGGACGCTCGACGAAAAACGATCACAAAAGGTCACAATGTCACTTTGTGACAGGTGAGCTAAAAACCTGAGCTGGACTACATGTTTAAGTTAAACTAATCAGAAAAATGCAACCAGAACTTGGGCCTAGTGTTGAATTGTGAGTTATACTACTCTCAAATAGCCTCATTTATGATTTTCATAAATTTAGTAATGTCATGACTTTATTTGTTATTAGGTGAAAAAGTTGAAATACTATAACATTTTAGTAGCTTATAATGGTAGTACTAGTATAAATATTCTTTAAAATTATGGCCCAGATTAACAAATGAAAAGGAAAAAAAGGGATAAATGTTGAAATTTTCACACTATGTTTCAAACAGTGACACTATGGTTTACTTTTAAATTTTTTCACCTTTTGTTTGCACAAATATACCGTATAAGTTGATATTTCCATGTGTCGTAAAGTAAGTGAATTGAGAATAGTAGGAAATTTTAGCAATTTTCTTCATTCGCATTGCTTACTTTATCACTTATACAGTAATTTAAAATGAAAATAGAACCATACCACTTTCACAGCTTCCACCCACATCAAAACCATTATTATCGTAGTGATTGGAACCACATGTGCACTTTTTATCCAGACAGGCAGCATTGGCATCAGCACATTCATTTGGTATATTTGAACACTGTACTCCTAAGGCTTTCCCTGAAAACAAGAGTGTTCAGTGATCACCTGTGAAGCTTGATGATAGCAAATAAAGAGTTGTATTGAGGGCCAATTGGACAGTTTGTTGGCAACTTTATAGCACGTAGCATGCTACAGCTACTTTGTAGCAGGCGAAAAATATGCTTTCTTTATTCAAGGGCCACAACACAGTCCATAATTATTCAACCAGAAAATATGCGCAAGTACTTAACGGGATAATCAATCCTGTAAAGTTTCATTTAAATTGGATTATACATATAGAAGAATAAGTCAAGAAAAAAAAAACACTTTAAAATCAAGAGTACGACATACAGTGTTAATGCTCGTGTGAAAAATATTCTAAGTTAAAAAGGAAGCATTATCAAGTTTCATGATTGATACCTTATGGAATATTTGAATAGGTCTTGCACAACGACAAAGACAATGCCCCGGTATCAATGATGCTGCAATGATCAAAATAGCTCTACGTTTTTTTCAAAACAGGCAAGCAAATTATTTTTTCAGACAAAAAGTGAAATAAATCAGACATAATTTGCTTAGAATAGAATTATCCGTCTTTCATTTCAGATAGTTGTCATAAAAACACTAGCACTTCAGGTTACAAAGCTGTTACTTTGCTGTTTTTAAAGAAATGTTCAAAAAGCTAAACTTTTACTCACACTTAAAAACTTAAAAGTAAAGAAAAAAAAACTTTACTGAACCTAAATAAAGGATTTTTCATAGTTGGAAGAAAATTTGAAGATTTGACAATGAATAAAAGAAAGCTCCTACAAAAATACATATAACAAGAGGGCCATAATGGCCCTGAGTTGCTCACCAGAAACAACTGCTTTTCAGAGTTGGAAATTATCCATTGTCAATATTTTCTGATATTTAATTTGAGCATAGAATATGTTTAAACAATAATTTGAAGAAATGCCATGACCTTGGGCATTTATGCTTTAGCTTAAAAGGCGCCAATCAAATTAATATGTGCAAACTAATAATGCTACAAAGTTTGGTGATCATCTATCAATTATTTCAGTAGGAAATGTTCAAAGGTTTTTTCTATTTTTGGCTTAAGTGCCCCCTAAAAGGGGCCAATCAAATTAATGTGAGCGAACTTGATGAAAGCGTACCTTAGAATGCTACAGACAAAGTTTGGTGATCATTTCATCAATTAGTTTTATAGAAGAATATGTATAAGATTTTTCTATTTTTAGCTATAGCTGCCCCTAAAAGGGGCCAATCACATTAATATGAGCAAACTTGATATACGACTACCCAAGAATGCTACAGACAAAATTTAGTGATCATCCATCAATTAGTTCTGTAGAAGATGTTTAAAGGTTTTTATATTTTTAGCCCGAGAGACCCCTAAAAGGGACCAATCAAATCAATATGAACAAATTTGATAAAAGACTACCCAATAATGCTACAGACAAAGTTTGGTGATAATCCATCTATTAGTTCTGTAGTAGAAGATTTTAAAATGTTTTATTATTTTTAGCTCTGTTGAACCCTAAAAGGGGCCAATTGAAATGACATTATCAAATTCAAGTGTGAGGATGCTACAGACCAAATTTGAATTAAATCTTCCCAGCGTTTCAGAGAAGAAGACGATTGTTGACGTATGACGACGGACGACGGACACCGGAGTATCCCCCTTTTGCCCTGATTTGCTCACCAGAAACAACTGCGTTTCAGAGTTGGAAATTATCCATTGTCAATATTTTCTGATATTTGATTTGAGCATAGAATATGTTTAAACAATAATTTGAAGAAATGCCATGACCTGGGGCATTTAAGCTTTAGCTTAAAAGGCGCCAATCAAATTAATATGTACAAACTAATAATGCTACACAGTTTGGTGATCATCTATCAATTATTTCAGTAGCAAATGTTCAAAGGTTTTTCTATTTTTGGCTTAAGTGCCCCCTAAAAGGGGTCAATCAAATTAATGTGAGCGAACTTGATGAAAGCGTACCTTAAAATGCTACAGACAAAGTTTGGTGATCATTTCATCAATTAGTTTAATAGAAGAATATGTTTAAAGATTTTTCTATTTTTAGCTATAGCTGCCCCTAAAAGGGGCCAATCACATTAATATGAGCAAACGTGATATACGACTACCCAAGAATGCTACAGACAAATTTGAATTAAATCTTCCCAGCGGTTTCAGAGAAGAAGACGATTGTTGACGTATGACGACGGACGACGGACACCGGAGTATCCCCCTTTGATACTAATAGCTCACCCTGAGCCTTCGGCTCTGATGAGCTAAAATCAACACAGGAAATGTAATGTAGAAAATTGGTGCATCGTGAAAACCCGAAAAGTTCAATGTAACTCTCCTTTGAAATTTTTTGAAATTGTTGCTGTGGATAAGAAGATAGCAAGAATATTCTTGACATTCTTCAAAAATTTGAGATATAGAAAAAAATTGTTGTCTTATACCAGTCCTATTCAGCTATATCTAGGAAACCATGACAGTTTAAATAAACGTGCAGTTTGCAAGGTCTAGTGAAAATGAACAAATATATGTTAGCAGAAATAACAATCAAAGT